AAGAGGGCGTTCTGAGGGCCCGTCAGAGAGAAAGGAGATGGGGATGGCTAGGAAGAAGCCTTGAAGCCCAAGACCGAGAGCCCAGATTCTCCCAAGAAAAGCACCAGTGTGGATGGGCCCTGGGACAAAAAGGGCCTTAAGAAGAGCAGCCAGGAGTCCCTAGTCTTAGGTGGCCAACCATCAGAGGGTGCAGCATGAGCCCCCTTGGTCTGAGTGACTCTCCTCAGAGGTGGGAACAGCTTCTTTCTCTGTGGCACCAGACACATTGAAATTCAGGGAGAAGGATTTGTGGCTCTGTGTGGGCAGACTCCAATTGTGGACTTGCCAGCTGCGGCTTCCTGTTCTCTCCTGACACAGGATGGGGGAGGCAGCACCCCTCCACGCAGACTGGGTGATTGCTGAGCACACACCAGCTGCTCAGGGACTCCAGCCCCCCTCTGCTTGGGGACTTGGGCTGCAGCCTCACTCACTGGCCAGCCAGACTTCAGGCAGAGTCTTCCTGGGTGGAAAGAGGGGCTGAGCTAGAGAAGGCCTGGGTCTGGAGGAAGGGCTCGAGGCCAGGATGCGGGAACCAGAGCAGAGTGCTGTGTATTCATCAAAGTAGATGTGGGATTGTCCTTACTGGTCCAGGTCTCTGTCTTCCATGCCTGGAGGGAGGCCATGGTGAGGCCCCACAGGATGGAAGAAGCCTGGGTCTCTGAAGGTCAGTATAGAGGACAGCTCAACCCTCACCCTTAATACCTACCCAGGACCAATGTGAGCAAGAAAGACCCTTCTGTTGCAGTGATCTGGGGCATGTCTGGACTGCAGGAGTTACTCCCTTTACTCTCTGGTCTGAATCACTGAAGTGTCATGCAAGGAGAACTCTCCTGGCTTGGCCCTCAATTTCTCAGTAACTGTAGACAGTCACTTTCTTGGCTTCAATTTCCCTATCCATGAGAGGAGAGGATCAATTAGGTGCTTTCCAGAGTCTCCTTAGTTCTGTGGTTCAATTTTCTAAAAGATAAGCAGAAATCCTTGAGACTAGAAGCCCTGTCAAATATTTGACAAAATGTCCCGCAATGCCCTAAAGCAAGAGAGTAAAAACGGAGCCAGGTGTGGTGATGCAGGCCTGTAATCCCAGCATCTGGGAGGGGGGCTGAGACAAGGGCTTTGCAAGTTGGAGCCCAGCCCGGCAATTTAGTGACTTAACGAGATCTTGTCTCAGATTTAAAAATCTGGGGATGAGACTTAGTATAAAGGCTCTGAGTCCAATCCCCAGAACTGATTAAAAAAAGAAAAAAAAAAAGTGAGCCTTGCAGGTTGTAGGTAGAGAGAGGTCACAACACAGAGCAGGTTGGTTAATATAACTATGTAGCACTCGCTAGTGGGTCAATTCCAACCTGGCATGGAGTCTCCATGCGGCTCCTTCAAACTTGACGACTTGGTGATTGCACAGAAGATAATACATGGAAAACACAAATACATGGACATAATAAATAAATACATGGAAAACACAAAGCTGGATGGACTAACTCATAGATGGACTGAGACCAAAAAGAACAAACCAAGACACATGTAAATCCTGCAGAATTCAAGGATTGGAGGAGCTTGTCTTGGCAGAAGGACCTCACAAAGGCTGTGTGAGCATAGCCTGGGTGTTTCGTTGACCACCCATTCTCTGGGAGCCAATATTGGACCACGGCTACTCAAACCTTGTCGCATCTGACACCACAGGGTGTTATACACAGAATCGAGAAGGGCAAGGAAGGTGTCCGCTGTGAGCAGTCATCTTTGGGGGTCTCCCTTTCCATGTAGGAGATCCCTGATGCTTTAGAATAAGGGTCAGAAAACTTTTTCCATAAAGGGAGAGGGGTAAATTCAAGGCATGATCAAATTACATGGTTAATGTTTAAATTTTAAACGTTTTAGTACAGTAGAAGACATGTCACCATTAACTCCCTCAGTGTACTCTCTTGCTTTGAACATGCTTATCCCATCATCCTTGCCATTCTCTGAAGCGGTTCTGAAAGTCCTCTTTCACACTCTTGTTGAGGTGTGATAAAAAAAATTATGGTGACTGTTGCAGTCGAGGGCCATCCAATGGAAAGGCAGACTTGTAAAAATATTACAGTGTGTCCTCCTCTACTCTATTCATTGGATCTGGCACTATGTGACTTCTGACTCTTCTCTAAAGTCAAAATGACCATTGAAGGATATGTTTTGAATTGATTTGAGACATTGAGGCAGCCGTGACTGTGCATCTTAAGACATGTAAGAAAGAGGACTTCCAGACCTGCTTCAGAAAGTGGCAAAAATGATGGGATAAATATGTTCAAAGTGAGGGGGAATATTTTGAAGCGAATTAATGGCAATGTGTCCTACTGTAGTAAAAAAATTTTTAAACATTCACCATATATTTCGATCACGTATCACATTGCAAGCTTTTGTGGGTTCTGTTACAACCACAACACTTGGCCTTTGCAGTGCCAACACAGCTACGAACAATAGGACACGAATAGGTGTGACTGTGTTTCACTGAAACTTTCTCTACAAAAACAGGTGGTGGGCTAGATTTGGGGCTCTTAGGTTTTAGTTTGCCCTCCTTTAGGAAAAGGACAGACAGAGACAGACAGAAATGACGGTTCTGGTAAGGGTTCTGAGGCTGAGACTTGGGTGGAGGCCACAGACCTGGGTGGGCCTGGTGGGGTTAGGCGTGCCCTTCTTAGTGTGAAGACATGGCGGCGGCGGGTGGAGGAGCGGTTACCCGAAAGCTGACTTTTATTTATGTCACGGAAGACCATAAAACACTGAAAAGGCAATTCTGCAGCACAAGAGGCTGCGGGATGGAGGAATTGGGCTGGGTGTTCTCTGACTCCCAGGCCTGCTCTGGAATAAGAGGTCCTCGCCACCATGACTGCCCTGCCTTCCCACCCTTCCTGTGAAGGGCTAAGTTGGTTCATCTGCCCACACACTGCAGCAAGAATGATACGTGGGTTGCAGCCGTGGTCCCTTTGATTGTGAGGCTCTAGGGGCAGGGGAGACAAGGAGGGCTGGCAAAGCTTGCGGCTACAGCCACGCACCCCCACATTGGTGACAGAAAGCTGACTCCTCACATGGGGTGCTCACATGCCCTCAGAGCCCTGCTTGTGTTTTAGGGTCTTCCCCTGAGCAAAATGGCCGGAGGGCTCAGGTGTTCACCTGAGCTCTGGTTCTTCCCAGCCTAGGTGCCTTGGAGCCGGGGAGCAGCCACCAGGGAGCGCAGGTGGAAGTATGAGCCCCCAAGGCACTTTTTCCTACTCCCCGGAGGGAGACTCAGTAACAGAAGCAGGACCTCCAGGTTTCTAGGGGCAACATTCCAGATCCTGGAGCTCTATAAGGTCGTATCTGAGCTTAAAACAGGTTATGATTCATTCAGTTTTGCTGTAAACTCAAGAAATGGGGTCCTGGCCACCAGGCTTTGGTTGGAAGTAACAGAAACCCCAGTTTAACTGGCTTCATTGCAGCACAGGAGCAACCAAATAATCACCAGAGGCCTAACGCGCAGCTCCAAGTTACTGACGTGACTGCTCAGCTCAAAGAATCCACAAGTGACTTAAAGTTTGAGAAAATACATCTATCATTTTAACAAGATTTGGTAACATAAAGCCCACCTTCTGGCCTCAGCTGATTGGACCGGGGGCAGAACTAGACCCAGGGCAGCCAATCAGTAGCCCGGAAAGCAGCCAATGAGATGATCTAGGGGGATAGTTCTGTCCAATCATGGTGACAGTAATGAAGAGGTCTCTGTTTTGGAAATTTGAGCAAGAGATTTGGAAGAATTGTACGACAATATTCAGAGGGACTGGAGAAACTAAAATTGCACCAAAGCTAGTGAGCAGGAGGACCCTGAGCCCCAGGGTTTGAAGCCAGGGAGGAGTGAGGAACAAGCAGAGCCAGCCTGGAAGGGAGCTTGCTATCTTTAAAGCCACGAACAGGAGATTCCTAGAGGTGAGGCAGATCTTTCCAGGCTCGGGTTTGCCCTGGCCTTCACAAGCCTGAGTCCTCACCATGAGGTCATGCCACGTGGCCACTACGGCTGAGTTGTTATCTGTGCTGCTTCCCCAGTGTCTTTTTCGGCCCCTCACCATTGCTCAAAAGGCCCCAGGGAGCGTGACAAGGCCCCGGAATTCTGAAGCGGCGTCTTGCAGGAAGGGCTACCGGGCTTCCTGGGTCAGAGTCTCTCCCCCACCGTCCCCAGGGGAAGATGGGGAAGATACTGGTTTCCCGATGATATCCTTGGGTCTGAACAAGAGAGCACTGGCCAGCCAAGGCCAGGATGTCAACCCAGAGCGGCATCAGGGAGGTTCCAGCAGCTGCCATTGCCCTGTGCCCTGGCTCAAACCAAGAAGTCATAAGGGTTACAGACAGAGGGAAGGGAGGAGTGGGGAGAACCGGTGGGGTTTCCAGAGTGTGGTCATGTGCTGCCTTGCCTCTCCTCTGTCCCCATCCTCCCCACGTTTCATTAGCACCCCTGAGTTTCTCAGACAAGAAAGCTAATCCAGGCACCACAGGCCAGGGATGCAGTGCTGGCCAAGCCACTGAACCTCCCTGGGCCTCCACTTGTGCATCTGTAAAGTGAGGATGATCGTAGTGCCCACTGCCCAGGGCTGCGAGGTGAAGTGAGCTCACAGGTGTAAAGCACTGGGAGTGGTGCCAGTGACACCAGCAGCAGCCACAGCCCCTGGGGGCGAGGGCCCAGGGAAGGGAGTGGGAGTGAGAGATACAGAGAAAGGAGAAAAGGAGACAGAGAAACATGAAAGGAGGAGAAGGATGAGGCAGAAAGGAATGAAGAGGGCAGGGGGATGTTTGGCGCCTATGGGTGCTAGTCCCCACCTTGCTGGCTCAGGGCTCACTTTCTTGTTCTTTATTCCCCCATATAATCTGCTCAGAATTCTGAGGAATTCTGATTCCACCCCCCAGTGGTTACCATGGTGATGAAAAAATCTGGACCCAGTGGAAAGTTCTCTGTGCTCTTGGCAACGAAGCTGCAGCACCCTGCCTCCTGCCTGTCTGAGCGTGGGCGGCCAGCTACAACTGCTGCCAGCATTTGGGGCCAGCCGCTCTGCGTGGAGGACCAGCCCTGCCCCCGTAACATTAGTGTGGGAGCCCTGGCATCTCTGGCTCAAGGAGTCCTCGGGGAACCTCTAACCTGCCCTACTTCACAGGCTGCCGACTCGTCCAAGTCTGTCCAGGTCCCTGACTCCCCTGGGGTCTCTTTCCTGGGTCAGAGGTGAGTCCAGAGGGCACATGTACTAGATGACATCCGAGCTGCTGAGAGTCGGGGAACGCCACCTTTGCCTCCACTGCTCCCCCAGACACAGTTGTGGTGGGGTGCCATGGGCTGAACGTTTATGTTCCCTCAAATTCATGTGCTGGTACCCTAACCCCCGATGTAATAGAATTTGGAGACGGTATCTTTGAGAGGTGATTAGATCATGAAGGTGGAGCCCTGATGCTCAAATTAGTGCCCTTATAAGAAAAGAGATGATTTCTTTCTCTCCGCCATGTGAGGTGACATCTGCAAGTCAGGAAGAGGACCCTCCCCAGACCCCAACATGAAAGGAAAGAAGAGATATAAATGCTCATTGTCTAAGCCACCCTTGTCTTGGTTGACTAAGCTGACAAAGATGGTGGAGTTTGTTGGCCTGCTGTATTTGATCCCCTCCCGACAGCCCCAGTTTTCATTCAGTGTTAGAAAGTCACAGGGGCTGGGGATCTAGCTCAGTGGTTCCACCACCTGCCTCACAAGCGCAAGGATCCCAGTTTGATACCTGGTACCAAAAAAGAAAAAGTCACAGAGCCAGCTTTCAGTAGACTCCTTATCAGAGCCCCATGCTTGAAACTTGCTCCTCCTTCCTCTCCTCCCTTTCCCCAGCAGACTGAGCCTTGATCCACAAAGATTTTCTGAGCAGACACCAAGTTATCTCCTTCGAGTGATGGTTGGCCTTGGCTTAACCTGGAATCTCCCACTATTTGCCTACCCAGCTATTTTTCTGTCATAGGCTCCATGTGCTATGGTCTGAAGGTTTAGGTTCTCCAAGATTCGTATGTTCAAACCTAATACCCTGTGGTGTTATTGAAAGGTGTGGCCTTTGGATGGTGATCACATCAGGAGGGTGGAGCCATTTGTATAAAGGAATAGTATCAATATTTAAAAAAGACCCTAGAGAGCTGCCTTGTTTCTTCTATATGACACAGACCCAGTGAGAAGGTGCCACTGAGGCACAAGAAAGCCAGGCACCAAATTTGCCAGGACCTTGTTCTTAAACTTCCTAGCCCCATAACCGTGAGAAATCAATTTGTGTTGCTTATTAGCCACTTGGTTGATGGTGTTCTTTATATTGACTCAAATGGGGTAAGACAGCATGTTTTCAAAACCTTTGTTCTTTAAGTAAATAGTCTTTATTACATAACTACACACAATGGCTTATTTTTTAAATCACCAAAGCCTTGTATAATCCAGGTTCCACTATCCCAGAAGACAACACATGGGAGTCTTCAATACTGATATGGCCATGGGATGGATATTTTGAGGAAAATTCTCCAAAGTGCACACTTACTTTAGCCCAAGGCCTTTCATTTCCAGCCCTCTGAACCCTTTTCAGGGAAGAACCCGAGATTGGGAACCAGTGGAATTTCCTCAGGGCTTGCAGGCCAACCAGAGAATGTGACATGTGTTGTCTTGGGCCTCTGGCCTTGGACACATTGAGGTTGGCTGGGGCACATCATATTTACCATCCTTGTTAAAAAAAAAAAACCCTCCCATGGAGGTCTGGACATTCTAGGAGGATGAAAGGCCTTTGCAATTCTTGCAAGGATCCAGCTCTTGGAAGGAAGGGGCCTCCTACCCTGATTCCAATGATGACACTGGACAACACAACCATTGATTAGGAGCTAAAACCTGTCCTTTGTGCAGTGCCCATGACTCCAGAAGCTATTGTCCAAAGAATAGAGACAAAGACCATAGGTCCCAATGTTCCCTGAAATCTTGGAGTTTGTATATTCCCCTAGAGGTAGATTTCACCCAGTGTCTCCATTACACAGGAGTATAAACTGTCATCTAGAGAAAGAAAGTGATGGCATAGCCAGGGATGGGGACAAGGTGCAGATCAAAAGTGTGTGTGCATGTGTGTGTGTGTGTGTGTGTGTGTGTGTGTGTGTGTGTAGAATCAAGTTCTCTGTAACTCCTGAACTATGTAATTGTAGAAGAGTTGTAGCAGTTTTCTAAGCCTTAGTCTTCCTATATGTAAAGTGGGGCTCAGGTTATCAATCAACAATTAATTCCTTCACCAAATTGTGTGCTCATTAGGGGAAGGACCATGCCAAACCTTTCCTAACACAGAGCCTGGCAGAGTAGTCCTGGCTTAATCAAAAGGCAGGAACAAACCTTATGAAAGCATTCCTTTCCCACAGACCATTTACCTCACATTCATTTCATTCATGAGTTCATCCATTTGTCCAACCAATGTTTATTGTCATTGTCTGTATATGCTAGTAATGCAGCTGTGACGGAGATAGATTTGGAGCCTACAAGTGACTGGTGGGGTCAGACGCTAACCACCACACATTAGAATCTGGGAAGTCCAGGACCCCACCTGAACTCAAGTTGGGGAGACTTTCCTTAGAACCCAAGAACACCTCCTGAGAAGATGCCAACTCAGCCAAGACATCAGAGATGAAGATTTAGTGTAAGGAAATGAAGTAGGGCTAGAGTTTCCAGAAGTGGAAACAGAAAAGTCTAACGTAGAGGGAGAGAAGGAGGTTCTCTGGGACCTCAAGATCCTTTCCCCATGCATCCTTTTCCCAAAGGAACCAAGTCACTCAGGGGAAAAGTCCATGAAGCAGTTCAGGACCACGGAGAGCTCCAGGAAAAGCATGAAGCCACCGCTTGGATTTTGCTAACCCAAGGGGCACAGAGTAGCCGGGAAGAGGGGAAGAAGGGAGATGGGGAGCTTTGTGCAAACTGACTTTTGCTCTGAGTGGGTGGGTACCATGGAAGGTTTCGATCAGAGGAAAAACATGACCTGACATATTTAGTCAGCTCCTGTGTCAGTTTTCTGTTAGTAGGACAAATTGCTGAGATATATCAACTTAAAAAGAGGAAAGGCTTATTTTTGGCTCACATTTCCAGAGGTTCCCATCTAGGGTTGATGGGCCCCATTGTTCTGGGCCTGCGATGACACAGTCCATCATGGCAGAAGCTGTGGCAGAAGTCCGTTCACCTCTGGACTGAGTACAAAAGAGAGGAAGACAGCTGGAGTCTCAATACCCTGTGGAGGACAGCCTGCCCAGCTCCCGATTTCTTAAAAGTTCTATCACCTCCCAGCAGCACCATGGGGTAAGGGCCAAACCTTTAATACACAGGCCTTTGGGGGACACTTGTCCAAGCTGTGGCAGCTCCTGTGTTGAGGACAGATTGCAAATGGAAGGGGTTGGTTAAGAGGCTGTATCACTTACTCTGATGAGGGGGGCTGGTGGCATGGCCCAAGCTGGTAGTCACGTCAGACTCAGTAGATTCAGAAGGTAGCAACAACAGTGTGTACAGATGATGGGACGAAGGGTGGCAGAGGAGTGAAGCCTGACTGGGAAGACTTGGCCCGAGCACCTGGAAAGATGGAGCTGCCATCCATGGAGACAGGGAGGGGCAGGTGTGGGGATTCTGGTTGGAGATGCCCACTGAACATCCCAGGAGGACTGCCTTGGAGGAGGCAGTTAGAAATATAGTTCTGCATTTCACAGCCCAGAGTGGCTCTGAGGGGATGGGTTCTGTGAAGGCTCCCTGGGCCCAAGCCCGCTCAGAACTGGGATGCCCCATATACCTTTCCTGTATGGCTGGCTCATGTCTCAGGGTCAGCTGACACCAAGGCAACCTCTTGGATTTCTGCACAGCTTCACTGGGCAGAGTTCCTCCTATGCTGAGCAGATGTCTATCCCAGAGCTCTGGGGTCACAGGGAGAAAATGCTGATGAGAGACTAAGGGCTCAGATTGTAAGTGATAAGAATGTAGAGGAAAACTGTGGGGTCTCAAGATGCAGCTGTCTGCAGTCCTTCGTGAGACCTGGTGCACTCAAGATCACCAGATTCACTGGCAAAGCCACCTTCCTTCTAAGCTGCCTCCAGTGAGCTTCTGTGATTGACACCTAAGACCTCTACCCAGTCATGTTGGATACTGACAGACTCAGCATTCACTGAGAGAACAAGAGAAATGCTTGGTCCAGTGCAGAGAAAGTGCTCAATATCATTACCAGTTCTCCACAGGCATCTAGGATGTTGCTGACCATTGAGTTAAGCACTGAGAGGTGGGCAGCAGCTAACCAAATGAAGAAGGGGGAAGTGGATTCTAAAAATTCTCCACTGGTCCCCATGTCCCCAACCCATCTCTTCTCTCCATGGAGCACGTTACATCCTCATCTCCCTGTGGTGAATGTGGTCACGTCCCTTTTCGGAAAGGTAATGGCCAGGACAGAGCCCCGAGAGAAAACACAGGATCACTGCAGTGGAGACTGGTGTCACATAGTCTGGATTCAAAGTAAGCCCCACAACTTGCTGGCAAGTTACCGAACCCGTCTGGGTTCTGATTCATTTGTCTACAAATGAAGGGATGGTAACAGGACACACTCTGTAGACTTGTGAAGATGAAGTCTGGACATGGTGAATGCTCAAGAAGTGTCAGCGCTTATCATCACAGTCAGGGCCTCGGCTTCTTCTCAGCACATCCTGAAGGTCTGCCTTGGGCACCGAGCCTGCTCCAGTCCATGGACTCAGGCAGTGCCACTTCACAGGGAAGAACAGGAGTGGCCAGATGACGTGTCTCAGACCCCACAGGCAACCCACTGTCCACTCAGCCCTAGGCCCAGGGTCTGGCTAAGGAGAGAGGCACTGCTAGGAGACAGGGAAGATGCCATGGGAGCTCAGGAAGCAGAGGACATGGGGCAGGACCAAGGGGCATCATGAGAGATCAGTTCCAGCAGGAAGAGGGAGTGGAAACCAAACAGCCCTAGAAGAGCAGAGGATATCTGGCCACCAGTACCTGGCTGCCCTACTGGGTGTCCCCCATGCCCCTTCTTCTATTTGTTGAGTCAGGCAGCAGCCAGCACAGCTTTCTTGGGGTCCCTGAAGCCCCCCACTCAGTCCTACTTCCCTTTCAGCAGCCCCATGGATCCTCAACTTCTGCTCCCATTTGGCCACCATTGCTGTGTGTCCTTGGGCAGGTCTTCGCTTCTCTGAGACTCACACTCCTAAGCCATCCAGTGGGAACTGCCATCATTAAAACGCAGGTCCTGGAATCCAGGGGCTCTGATGCCCTGTTTGCTGTGTATCCCACAGCCCATAGTGAAGTCAGGTACATGATGTTTACAGGGAGTTTTGGAAGTGAATGAATGATTAAATAAATAAATAAATGAATGGGTGCCCAGCTTCGGTCCGAGGCCAGCTGTGGGCAACTGAGCTAACAGGCTCCAAAGTGCAGCTCGGCCCTATGCACCAGGTCTACATACACACGGGCAACTGCCTCATCTTTCTGGAAGCCTCAAGGACTCAGAGTCTCTCTACCTGGATCCAAATGCCACCTGTCCTCCCACCTTTCCTCATGCTTCCCAGCTCCAGTGTCTTCGCCCTGACCACCCAATGGGGATCCCCTCAGTGTTGCCACCGCCATACCTGTCCCTCCTGCTTCACTCTGCCCCCTAAATAGCTCAGTGCCACCCATTGTCTCCCCCGACCCCCTTCACCTTGGCCAGGTCATGTCATCTCTCCCCTGCTACTCCCCAGGTGACCTTCCAACTCATCCTCTCCAGTTACAAAGTCCAGCCCGCAATGGTTTCTCCTCTGCTACGGCCAGAGGAGACAGAGAGCTCTTGCCTCCATACTCCTATCGTCCTCCGGACCAAGTCCCAGTTTCTCAGCGTGGTCTGCATGGCCTTGGAGACCAGATTCCTGCTTAATTCTCCAGCCTCCTTCCTCTTCACACCCATGGCCTCTTCTGACACAATGCCCTCTTTTGTGTTTAGGAACCTTTGTGCTCTTTCATACTTCTATGTCTCTGCCCTTTCTATCCCTCCAACCTGAAAGCCTTCCTCATCCGCATGAAGAACACCCATTCCTCACGTCTCTCAGGAACATCCTGGCAAAGCCCTGACCATCTCCTTCTGACTTGCGCTATTTCTTGTGAATACATCTACTGTATTGGCTTTCTCACATTGTACCTTAAAGTTTTGGAGTGCCTTGCCTATGAGATATTTCCAGAAGAGGCTCATGGTTTATTCAGAGTGCAAAATTTAGACACGAATGTAGATGTGAATATTTAAATCAAAGCGGTATCCAGCTCAAGTAGGTGGTCATAACAACTTTGTCAATGGATGTATGGATGGCTAGGAAAGAAGGCAGATGGTTGGACAGACACATTGAAGGAATGGGGATGGAAGGAAGGAGGGACAGTCAAGTGGAAGGAATGATAGCCACTTAGTGGAAGGGCAAAAGGATGAAGAATGGATGAGTGGGGGAAGGAAGGATGGGATAATAGGAGAAAGGAAGGAAAGGAGACAGGATGAATGTATAAGATTAGTTGGATGGGATGGGTGAATGGAAGGATGAAAGAAATAGGAAGGAAGGGGTGGGTGAAGGATTGGAAGAGAAGATAAGAGCAAGAGTGGAAGAATGGATGATGAATGGCAAGATGCCTGGATTAATAGGTGGATGTGACAATTTTTATGCTCCTTGAGCTGGTCAGCTTCCTCCCAAACTTGGGGTTCCCTGAAGTGGGTTTCAGTTGTCTAACCTGGCACATATATCTTGCACATTTTGACCTTGGACAATAAATTAATCAGCCATTTGTTATTAAGAGAAACTAGAATCTGAGCATAATGATGCATACATGTAATTCCAGCTACTCGGGAGGCTGAACAAGAGGATTGCAAGTTCAAGGCCAGCCTGGAAAATTAGGGAGACTCTGTCTCAAAAATTTTTTAAAAAAGGGATGAGAATGTAACTCAGCTATGGCTTGGGTTCAAATCCTAGCATAGAGGGAGAGAAGGAGGGAAGAGAAGAGGGAGGGAGGGAGACACAAATGTTAGGAATCAATTTGATCAACTGTTCTAGGGGTTTTACAGGGGATGGGGCTCAGAAGGTTTGGAGCAGCCCGCCTAGGTCTTAGCCAGCCCCTGAGGCACCCACCTAGCTGGCTGTTCTCCAAACTCCTCACAGAGAGCTGCACTCTCCCTGCAGCCACGTCCATCTCCCCAGAGACTTGTCCTGAGCAGTGCCCTGCTGGCCACGAACCTAGGGAGAGGTTTTTACATGGAAAAAAAAAAAAAAGGCTCACCATCAGGTTGCAGCTGAGGAGACCTGGCAGGGCAGCTGCCTTTCTGCCCTGAATGTGACCCTGAGCCAGGCCTATGGCCAGACCGGACTTGGGTAGCATCAGAGAGAGAGATGGGAGTGCAGAGAACCTCAGAGGAGGAGAATGAGCAGGTCAGCGGCTCCTGCGTGGAACCCACATGGACTGGGGAGGGAAATGCACCTTTCCAGGTCACACTCCCAGTGACCCACATCTTCCCTGATCAGGCTCCACCTCCTAACAGCACACTGAAAGCAGGAGAACTGGTCACCCAGGTCTTGGGATATGGTAACAGTGCTGCTGAGGGTGACTTGTTACCTAGAGACCAATGAAGGAATACGCTGTCATGGGATCCCTCCTGCTGTGCCCAGCCTCCCTCACCGTAAACCCGGCCGCTGTGGAGTTTGCACCCCTTCCCTCTCTGTCTTATTCTTTCTGGAAGCTCCTCCTGCGGTGGGGGGGGAGAGTGAGCGTCTCATCTGGAGTCTGCTGAGACTGGTTCTCCTGCAGGCCACTGCTGCTGTCCTCTGGGTTTTAGGGCCTACAGGGACCCCTCTGTCCTCAGGCTGCTCCCTGACTGGAGCCGTCAGAACAGATCCCCCTGTGTGGAGGCCGAGGGCTCCTCAGCCATGGTCCTCAGTACTCCTGTCCTAGAAGCCACTCTCTGCTCTGGACTCCCACCTCCACCACCAGGACACTGAGCCACAGCTTGGTCTTTCACTCCAGCTGTGTCTGTGTGACCAGGGAAAGCTCCTACTGCCGGCCTCACCTCCGACCTCTGGAGTCCTTCCCTCTAGAGTCCAACTCCCTTTCATGGGCATCTCTCCGGGATGACTCACAGCGCTTTCCAGAGCTCACCCAGCCTACCCTGGACACCCACCCAGAATGCTGTTCAGCACCTCAGTCCTGATACCAAGATTCTTAGCATTTCTTTTCTTTTCTTTTGTGTTACCGGGGATTGAACTTGGGACCTTGCGCTTGCGTGTTAGTGAGATCCTAAAGAGGTTGGCGCTGGCATTTTCCCAAAAGTCTGCACCATCCAGTGTTATCATCTAAGGCCACCCAGCCCACTTCTTTTCCTCTTCCAAAGCACCCTGGGCACAGGCTGGGGCAAATTCCCCCGCACTTGTGTCCTCTCAGAAAGGTGACAAAGGTCCAGAGGGACAATGCAGGGTTGGGCTCAAAGCAGAGGCTCCAAAGGAAACTAGACCCAGGTTTCCACCCCCGCGAGGTGACCCTGGCCAAGTCACTTAACCTTTCTGATCTTTGAAAGGAGAGCATGATAGCAGCCTCTCCTGGATTGTCACAAGGACTGAGGAGGCAAGTCCTATAATGCATTTTGCACAGTGCCTGGCACGTAGTAGACTCATAGTAAACAGCAACTGTCATCATTGTTATGTGGCCCGCTGAGGCCTCATAGCCAGCCAAAGCACAGAAATCCCTGTGTCTCCACCCACTCCCAGCTCTGATTGCCCCTGCTGTTTCCCCTTTGATGGCCCTGCCCAGCTGTTTTCATGAAATGATGGTGCTCCTGACTTCCCATTAGAACGGAGAAATGTGCTT